CAACTCTACATTCGTGTCAGGGTGCCTGTGGGGGGCTGGGCAGGAATGGAACAGATCTGAGAGTCTCTGGCAGAAAGGGGTGGGACCAGGGCAAGCCCATCAAGCCAGATATGTGAAGTAGGCGAGGGCCATTTGCTGGTCACTTCCAGGCGATGGTGCATTTCTTCATTCCTCACAAAGGGTGACACCTCCCCACCATGCACCCAGGGGGTAGGGCCTACGTGGCAGGGGCTGGTTCCTTGCTATTTCCAGATGGCCTTGTGGAGCTAAAACTGAATGCGTTTCAGGATAGATGGCCACCACAAAATTGTACAGGGCCAAGGCAACGGGCTGTTCCCTCACTGTTTCCAGGATGGCTTCGCGGGCCACATGAAACCATTTCACAGGCCGCATCCGGCCCCCGGGCCTTGTGTTTGACATGTCTGTCTTATGGAATAATTGTTTGGGGGGATTAGAGACCTGACAAAACAAAAGACACTTTTCCCTTTCCCCACTTTTTTTTCTTCTATGGGGTAAAGAATGTCTTTTACTACCAAGAGATTTGGCACACAAAAGTTCTATTTCTTTTCTCTAGCTCACAGGTCAGCAACCTGTGGCTCCAGAGCCCCATGCGGTTCTTTGAGCCTTCCCGTGCGGCTCCCAGTCTCCTCTGCCATTTGTAGAGACAGAGCCCCCCCTCTCTGTAAAAGAGAGTAGCCTCACCTTGTTCCAATGAGCTGATAAGCTTATTGGGTGGGGCTCCTCCCTTTGCTATGTCTCTGCAGGAAGCAGGAAGGGCAGGAAAGCTAGCTAGCCCAGCTATGCTGACTCAGGAATTCTGGGAGTTGAAGTCCATGAGTCATAAAAGAGCCGAGGTTGCCTACCCCTGAGCTAGCCCAATAAGAATGTGTGTCAGCTTGTTGGAGAACAGCTTAAAGCCAGCTTGCCAAGTGAGCAGAAGATCAGAGAGAGGAAGAGGGGGGGAGAGAGAAAGAGAGAGAGAGGAAAGAGGGAGAGGAGAGAAAGAAAGAAGGGGGCGAGGAAAGAGAGAAAGGGAGAGGAAAGAGAAAGAAAGAAAGGGAGAAAAAGGGAGAGAGAGGGTGGGAGAGGGGGATGGAGAGAGAGCCTCTTGACATCTAAAATGAAGATAACGCTGAATATATCCTTTTTTACCTTTATTATACACACACACACCTATAATAAAGATAAAAAAGGATATATGCAGTGTTATCTTCATTTTAGATATCAAAAGGGTTTTGCGGCTCACAGTGTTTTGTTTTTGGTGGGAAATGGGTCCAAGTGGCTCTTTGAGTGTTTTGGGTTAACTACCCCTACTCTAGCTGCTTCTCCAGCAACCTACAGGTTGACAAGAGAAGTAGGCCAGATGGTTACTTGGGATAATGGGACAAGCCTGCCTAGAGGTGACTACCAGTATTAGTGAAAATCAGGGACCAGAGCCTTTACCCCCTAAATAACTTGTGACAATTTGTCACAGGTAGATGGCTTGTCTCAGTTTGTAGCAGCACCTTTTGAAATAGAGCAAGAAACCACCACCTTTTGAAACAGAGCAAGAAAAGCTAGATGGAGGTTGTCTCTATGCTGGGCCAGGACTGAATTGAAGATGACATTGTTGTGCTTAACAATTGTTAACGGGCCACTCTTGCATTGAGGCAGACAGTTTCTGCAGATGCCACCCCCTGAAAATTTTATGGACCACCAGATGGCAGTAAAACCTAGACTTTGGGGGTTTCAACCCAGACTAAAAACTCCTGGAAGCCTCTACTTCCAAGTAAACATGCATTGAGATGTGCTGAAAATATTTACAAAGTTGAAAAGCTTCTCAGGTTAAGATAACACAATATCAGTAGAACTGGAACGGTAAAGTTTGCTTCAATATATTCATAAGACATGCTTTTCTCTATTGTGTTTGATAAACATATGGAGCTCACAGGTATATAGTTTATCCAGAATAAGTATTTTGATAGTGGCCAGATAGGTGCAATAGGTGACATAAAGGTCATGGCCTTTTCTATCAATAAATTGACATATATATTTTTTTAGGGAAGTCCATCTTTCCTCATATTTTTGTTAGTTTTATACAAGCAGTAATTATAATTTTATTTCAACATAACTTTGTTTCTTAGTAAAATGTTTTAACCATAACACTGAAAAATAAAGATTGCTTTACCATTTGCATTTGTTGTTTGAGCTGATTATATGCCATCAAGTTGGTCTTGATCTTAGTGACCCCTTTTTACATTATACTAATATAATGTATTTTGTATGTATGAGCCTTTTAAGTGTCTAATATCAGTGTGTCTGCAGACAAATACTTCACATGCAAAGCTTCCCTGCCCATTAATCTAAACTCTCTTAAATATTTTTAAAGCTTTCTTAAACAAAAAACTGCTATAATATAAACTAACAACTTCTAGTCACATGTTTATTTCCAAGACTACTTCAGAGCCTCACTTGAGCCCTGTGGCATTCTTATAAAATAAACATTATAAGTGACTGGAATGCAGGGCTTTGTTAGAAATGTTCCTGCCCAAAGGCAATGGGGGAAAAATATGGTGAAAATGCAAGCATCAGACTTCAAGCACGGTAACAGATTTTGATTTCCTGAAATCTGCACCAACCTTCATCAATAGCAGAAACTTTTATAATTAATATAATAAAATTAGTCACCATTTTATATATCCCCTTCAAACAGAATCTAGTTCTATACTTCATTTAGATAACCCTTTTAAAGAAAACATAGTAATTCAAATAATCTAACAGACATTTCTGAAAATTAGCATAGAGCAGGGTTTCTAAGCTGTAATGGTTATTTCTCTTGTGGCAGTGCAGAGTCCAGGTGAGCTGCATAGAACCCTTTAGTTATAATTTTTTACATCTTTCCTGAAGTTGAATTGCATATTTTTATTGTTCATTTGTGTCCATGTTTGTATTTTTAGAGGAGCGGTGTACATTAAGATTACAGTAAAGGGAGGTGTGAAGGAATCTCTAGCATAAAGGTTGTATTAAGGAAGTTGTTGATGAGATGCCTTATCTTTTCAGTATGGAGAACAGGATCCTCTAAGTAACCAAATTGTCTAAACAAGGACCAGAATATTATGAAAAAAATATGATTTATATGTTTTATGAAAACTGACAAGCTAGGTCACAGGTCGGCAACCTGTGGCTCCGGAGCCGCATGCGGCTCTTTGGGCCTTCCCCTGCGGCTCCCAGCCTCCTCTGCCTTTGCAGAGAGAGACAGAGACAGAGAGAGGCAATTGCGCTTCTCTGCTTCTCTCTCTCTCTGTGTGTGTGTGTGTTTTTGTGTGTGTGTGTGTTCTCTCTGTGTGTTTGTGTGTGTGTGTGTGTGTGTGTGTGTGTATAAAAAAAAGAGAGTGCACTCACAGTGTTCTCCGAGGAGCTGAAAAGCTTACTGGGCGGAGCTCTTCCCTTTGCTGCCTCTCTGCAGGAAGCAGGAAGGGCAGGAGAGAGCTAGCTAGCTCAGCTAGGCTGACTCAGGAATTCTGGGAGTTGAAGTCCATGAGTCATAAAAGAGACGAGGTTGACTACCCCTGATCTTGTTGGACAACAGCCTGAAGCTTGTCAGGTGAGTAGCAGATAGGAGAGGGGGGGGAGAGAGAGAGAGAGAGAGAGAGAGAGAGAGAGGGAGAGAGAGAGAGAGAGAGAGAGAGAGAGAGAAAAAGAAAGAGAGCGGGGGAAGAGGAGTGGCAGACCAAGGGCAGATAGAGAGGGAGGGAGAGAGAGACAGAGAGAGAGAGAGAGACCCTTTTGACATCTAAAATGAAGATAACACTGCATATATCCTTTTTTTTACCTGTGTGTGTGTGTGTGTGTGTGTGTATATATATATGTATGTGTGTATATATATATATATATATATATATATATATATATATATATATACATACATACATATACATATATATATACACACACACACACATACACACACACATACATACACACACACAAACACACACACACAGGTAAAAAAAGGATATATGCAGTGTTATCTTCATTTTAGATGTCAAAAGGGTCTCTCTCTCTCTCCCTCTCTATCTGCCCTTGGTCTGCCACTCCTCTTCCCCCGCTCTCCATCACATAAACACACACACACCTATAATAAAGGTAAAAAAGGATATATGCAGTGTTATCTTCATTTTAGATATCAAAATGGTTTTGCGGCTCCCAGTGTTTTGTTTTTGGTGGGAAACGGGTCCAAGTGGCTCTTTAAGTGTTTTGGGTTGCCTACCCCTGAGCTAGGTCTTCATCCAAATAACATTACTGCAAATTACCCATAGATACAACAGGAAGCTAATAGTCTGGTCTCATTATTATAAACCACTGAGATTAAATTTGGGGATAATGTGGGCCTTCTGCAGCCATCAACAAGACGTGATGGGGGAAAAGTAACAATCTTTAATGGTATTGTAGTTGTGACCTATAGTTCACATAAGGAGCTACCTTTTTTCTTCATAAAAGAGGTACGAGCACTGGGCTAACATAAGTAAACCAAGAGAGTACATGGTAGGAATATCCAACCATGTACTCTCTTGGTTTACTTATGTTTGTTATAGAATGGGATTTGCTGGGCATTCTCTGTTTGTATATAGGTATGTCAGTGATTTCATCATGGATTTTTTTGGTGAACTTCGATATTGCTGCTTTCTGAGAAATACACATTACAGTATTGTGTAAAGAGAAATGGGATTAAAGGATTTGGGGCTGAGACCTCTACCTTCCTTCTGCTCCCCTCATGTGAAACAATAGCTGACATCTCTGATTTTTTTTTAATGAATTGTTTGCTTAGAAGTCAGAGATGGACATTTACTTTATGGGAACAAATCAGTATTTACAGTAATTACTATATATCTATTTTGGGGTGGCGCTGTAGAAAGTAACATTGGGAAGTACATTTCTACACACAGGATCTTCTAATAGCAGTTTTATTATCATAAGCCATTTCAAATTAATATTTTAAAGACATATTTTAGAAATCTTTCCTAACAAGCAAATAAGACACTTCATCTCTTTTCCTTCTTGTAAATCATTTTTGTTGTGTATTTATCATTTCCTGAGCACCATATAAATAATGTAATGGATTGTGTGATTTCATGGCTCTTTAAAGACTAACATTATTATAGTGTCTGCAGTTGCTTGCATGTGCATCCATTTCAACAGATGCCTTAAGCAAGGGCAGGAGTCCCTTATTTCTTTGACTGACTGATCTGCAGAAGTAGTGTAGAGATTTTCTTATCTATTAAACAAGAATCCACACCCAAACAGCCTTTTAAGGAGCCAACCTGCTAATGCTACATCACTTCCTAACAGGGGTCCCCAAACTCTTAAGCTCATCCAACCCTTTATGAAGCTTCAGATTGTTCCACACTCAAACATTATATTTAATAAATAATACTTTAACTAATATGACTACAAATAATAATTTAAAAAGTCTGGCTAGTGGATGTGGCAGTGCCTGGAGAAGGCAGAATAGAAGAGAAAGAACTGGAGAAGATAACAAAATACAAACACCTGCAAACAGAACTAGAACAACTGGAAAAAGAAAGCAAAGCTAGTACCAATACCAATAGGTGCCACGGGTGCAACTCCAAAACAACTATAGCATCACTTGTACACCATCAGCATTGACAAATTCAATTGCAGCTTTACTGGGAACAGCTTATATTCTCAGATGATTCATCTTTAACACGATAAAACACCCACATCTGCCTCTCCCAGGTCCTTGGGAAGGGCTCCGATAAGTGGATAAAAATGCCATATCCAGTCTGAACATCTGGCTGACTTCTGTGATGAACCATCATAGTAAGACAACTCAAGGCTGCTCTAGCTAGTGGCGGACCATCCAACCCTGGGTAACAGTTTCGTTTCTAGCCACCTTTTTTCAGGATTAGGGACTGGAGTTTTACAGAGCCTCCCCCCCAAATAACTGACCCAATGACGTCTCATCACTTATCGATCAATTACTGATCCCCTCTCTTTTGTCTCCCGGCCTTTTAATGATGCTTGGAGATCGATACTGATCACTGGGGAGCCCTGTAATCTGTCACTACTTTCATCCTTCAAGGATAGGACTGGTGGGGAACCCGCGAAAGAGTCGCCTGAATTTTCTGTATTTGCCTTTAACCTTCTCCAGCGCCGCCTCCAGTCAGACAAAACAGGAAGCCCTTTTCTCCCTTGCCTCCCTTCCTCCAGTCAAGGCATTCGCTTAGAGCGGTCCCGACCCAGCCCGCCTTCTTCCTGGAAGGAGAAGCAGCCCAAGGGAGCCTCCTCTACTTTTATTAGTTCTTGAGCCAGAAGCGCGAACCCGGCCTTCCGCCGAAGGCGAGTTGAGCGGATTGGAGGACGCCGGTCACGTGCTCCCTCACTTGGTTGGCGTCATTCGTCTCTGCGGCGCGGAGAGGGCGTGACGAAGGGACGCGGCTGCCCGGCCGGCCCGGGGTCTTTCGTCACATTTTTCAGCCCGCTGCGCCGCAAGTCGCTCAGGTCTGCCTGGTTTGTAACGTGCACGTGAGGAGAAGCGATGTCGCCGCCGGCGGGATGAAGCCAGCGCGGGTCAGTGAATTGGCGGGGATTGGTCAGGAGTAGCTCAGGTGAGGAGGTGGCGGAAGGAGAAGAAAAGACGGCATGCGACAAGCAGGCAGGCAGGCAAAATGGAGATGCGGAGGTGAAGGAAAAAGAGCGGCGGCGGGCTGTGCTGCAGGTGCTCGCGGCTGACCTCGGGCAAAGGCAGGAGGAGGAGGGGAAGGGCGTTTCTGATTAACCAATCCCAGGCTCTGTTCTTTTACTGACCCCCAGGATTGCATCCTGCCTTTTATAGTGGTGGTTTGCTTTTTTTTTTTTTTTTGCTGGCCTAAACTGCTTCTCTTTGGTGGAAAAACGATAGGGTGAAAATGAGATGAACCCTGGCCCATCTTAACATTGAAAAGCACGGCAGCGAGGTTAACCATGTAGCCCTCGGAACATTTTCTTAATTCCCGGGGTAGGTTTATTTTGTAGAACTCGGGACACACCGTTGTATAAATACGTATGAACTCCCAAAATGGCACCCCCAAATTTTCACGGACCCAAATCAAATGCATTTCTATTCAGTTGCAAAATGCATCATAAATTAGCCCCAAATATGTGCGTGCTATATGTGCATAATGTGTATGGGAGCTTAGCCTTATAGTCGCCACCCATTAAATTAAACCATAAGCAATTAAAAAAAATCTTTTTCCTGGTGTAGAACTGGTTATTTGATAGATATTTACCATACTAAGTTATAACGTTTTGGATTGCAGAGTATTATTTATAGCAGGGACTTTCGCTTTCATTTGCACTATAGGGCCTATTACATGTAACAGATTGGATGTTGTAATACAAAACTATGATATCTATAAAAGAAATTGCACATTTGCATCCCAATAGAATATTTATTAGACCAACTCCAAATTTGCAAAAATATGCAAGATCTCAAAATTTGTACAGGTGTTATGATGGATGTATATAGGCTAAATAGAAGTGTAGTTCTAACATGGAGTTTGAAATATTAGTGTTTTTATTTGGGGAGGGAGGGAACTAATAGTTGTACAATATAATATAATTTTTAGCTATGTGAAGCTTTAATATTTCATGGGCAAATCATTTTTACAGTACTGAGATAATGTTACTGAGTTACTTTATAGTGTTGCAGTGACAGAATATTTGTAATATTCTTGGAATATCCACAGAGATCTTTATGAAAATATATTTGGCTTATATTTGAAATATAAAGTGTGCACAGTTTAAGTAAATCGTAACAAATAAATAGCAAATATCAGTATATATAGCCATTTGCTTTAAATTTGCACCAAGAGGAAGCATGTTGCAAAACATAATAAAAACAAAAAATAGCAAGTGTTTCTCTATTCTCATGGGCTTATATTTGCAAGGATGTATAGTGGGAAGTCAATATCGTTATGATGGAATACAAGTAAATAGCAGGGAAAGACTTTTGTTAAAATTTTAGATAATAAAAATTTCACTACCAGCTTGATTTGCAGAGGCTGGATGGCCTTATGTAAATAATGGTGTAACTGGAATACTATTCAATTGTGTAGCATTCAAAATCTCGTCAAATTGTAAAAATAAGTGATTTGGGAATTATGACTATATTCTCATGAAAAATCTTCATCCCATACTCAAGAAGAACATTACAGGAAGTTTTTTCCCTCCCCAAGTAGTAGGGAAAGTACCATAATGGCCGTAGAGAAACTGATAGAATATTTTATAAATGCAGATGGTAAATTGAGTAAATTCAGACAAAAGCTGAAGTATAAATTAAATATTCTTTTAATAAACAAATTATGATGAGCACTAGAGAGCATTAGATCTAATTTTCTGTGTCTCTGCTGCCATCTTATTGCCAGCTAAATTTTTGCAGCCAAATAAAACAAGACTATTGATTCCTTTTTAGGCAGAACAGTTTGAAGACCTGCTCCAGAATGCTACTTATACAGAGAAAACCTTGTTTTGTATCATATAGGAAAGGTAATTATCTCATTTTTACTATGATGGCTTCCTATAGTTTGTACCCCAATGTAGACTATTGTTATCACTCTTTTATTTTCATATAATTTTTTTAAGATTACAATTAAAGTAAAAAACAATACAAACTACAAAAAATAAGAAGAAAGAACTTTCCCCCTCATGTGGACAAGTACATATAATTTTTATAACTTGTCTTAAACTATTATTATCACATCTTGGCAGGTGGTGGTGATGTCTGAGAAAGCAGCTTGGATAAACTAACATGCAGACTGGCTCTTAATGAATTTGTGCCCCTGGTGCGGGGTTAACAAGTTTTAATATTGTCCTGTCCTTACTAGCAGGCGTAAATCTTAGTGAAGTCTCCATTGTTCTTTATGTTTGTCACATGAATGCAGTCCACATCATGCTGAGAAGTGAGGCATTGTTTTATCTGAATTTGGCTATAAGTAGGTCCATTTTCCTCCCCCTCTATTGATAATTTATCAGTATAGTGATAAATTACCACTGTATTTTGATACATCCTCAATATAGTTAGAACAGGGGTAGGCAACCCAAAACACTTAAAGAGCCACTTGGACCCGTTTCCCACCAAAAACAAAACACTGGGAGCCGCAAAACCCTTTTGATATCTAAAATGAAGATAACACTGCATATATCCTTTTTTACCTTTATTATAGGTGTGTGTGTGTGTATGTATGTGTGTGTGTGTATATATGTATATGTATATGTATATATGTATGTGTATACACACACACACACGTAAAAAAAGGATGTATGCAGTGTTATCTTCATTTTAGATGTCAAAAGGGTCTCTCTCTCTCTCTGTCTCTCTGTCCCTCCCTCTCTATCTGCCCTTGGTCTGCCACTCCTCTTCCCCCGCTCTCTTTCTTTCTCTCTCTCTCTCTTTCCTCTCTCTCTCCCTCCCTCTCTCTCTCTTTCTCTCTCTCTCTTTCTCCCCCCCCCCTTCCTATCTGCTGCTCACCTGGCAAGCTTCAAGCTATTGTCCAATAAGCAACCTCTCTCTTTTATGACTCATGGACTTCAACTCCCAGAATTCCTGAGTCAGCCTAGCTGGGCTAGCTAGCTCTCTCCTGCCCTTCCTGCTTCCTGCTTCCTGCAGAGATGCAGCAAAGGGAGGAGCTCCGCCCAGTAAGCTTTTCAGCTCCTCGGAGAATACTGTGAGTGCACTCTCTTTTACACATACACACAGACACACACACACAACACACACAGAGAGAGAGAGAGAGAGAGAAGCAGGGAAGCACAATTGCCTCTCTCTGTCTCTGTCTCTCTCTGCAAAGGCAGAGGAGGCTGGGAGCCACAGGGGAAGGCTCAAAGAGCCGCATGCGGCTCCGGAGCCGCAGGTTGCCGACCTGTGAGTTAGAACAATGCTGTCTCATTAAAATAATTGTCTTTCACCATTGTTCATTTTTTGTGTGTTTAGTTGGTAGATTGTAATTGCTGGAATTAGTATCTAATCTTTTACATATATTTGATTTCTATACTGCCTTAACATGGTAGAATAGTAAAATATTCTATATAGAATATGGAATGCCTTCTAAGTTAGAAGTGCAAAATTAAGGAAAATAATTACTAGAATAGAGAGCATTGTCCTCCACCTATACTTGTTTCTAGAACTTCCTGTTAAGAGTAATATATGGAGTTAAAGGATGGAATTTCCTCCTTTTCAAAATCTAGTCTTGTATTTTGCTCGCTTCCAATTTTGGATTTATTTGCAATAAAATATTCCCATTCCTCAGTTATCTTTTTATTTTTCCTAAATTAGTCTCTTTTAGTGCTAAACTGACATAGGATAACACTTCTATGTTTTGTTTTCTTGTTGAGTTGAAATTAGGGAATGAGAAAAGGGGAGAAAGCTTTAGGGCAGTTCCATGCAGAATTTGAAGGTGAAAACATGAAGAAATAGGTAAGACATGGGTGAAAAGAAATGTAAGAGGAAGATTTAAAATGATTGCTAATGGCCTGTTTTTGCTCAAACAGGAATGTGGCTGGAAAGGCAGGTTTATAGGCAGATCAGCAGCAGACTTATGCAACAAATGTTAATTACTTAATAGAGAAAATAAAAGTAATTCAACCATAAAAAAGCAAAACCTTGGAATACTTTACAGACTCCTGCATAATCCATTTTCCTTGCCAGATATAAATACCTGGTTACCATGACAGTTTTATTTATTGATATTGCAGATGATAATGCTATACAGATAACACATAGGAAGATAAAACAATCTTTGTCGGTCAGTGGGGAAAAAATGAATGTAGACTCCAGTTAAGCTCCTTAACATGTCACATTAGAAAGAGTCCTCATTCTAATGTCCTGCCTCATTAGAAGAAAATGGAGAATATAAAGAAAGCTGAGATTCCTTAAGATACCAAGACCCCAGATTGGGTAGGGTTTTAAAAGAAGAGGATAGCATTTCAAATTGATCTCAGAAATAAACTTCAAGGAACCTATTCCATTAGGTATTATATGTTGTCAGAGACGTTACCTAACCAGCTACATTCTGTATTGAACTGCAGTTTCCCAATTATCCTACACTGAAACAGTCCTGATTTTTGCAATATGCAGGTCAATCAGCTAAACATTAGTTAATTTTCATAATACTGTAATATAGCATATTATTAACTGGCTTCACCATTGCAGAAAGTTTCGTTGTAGTAGGAATACTTTCATACTCCGAACACTAAAAATACAAGTGTTTCTCTTCTGGATTGGTCCAGAGTAGAAAGTAGCTAAGGTAGCTTTTACTTCAGTGTAGTTTTAGGATAAAGCTCACCCAAAAAGTTAGAGAGCAACACAAATATTTAAGGACATATAAGTTTCCTTTATTTTAACACTTAATAATTTTGAATATCAGAAAGACGTTGAGCACTTCCTTAGACAACTCAGCCTGCATTAATATTAATAGAATTCTATTGCAAAGCTGAAAGATCAGACGCTAGAAAGCAAGCTGTGTTAATTGATACTCATGCTGAAGGATAGACGCCACTACTGGAATTGGCTAGAATGCAATATAATAATCAACATGTCATCACCTACTCCTACATATAAATCTTGTGTTTATGTTGCCAGATGTTTTGGCCTTATGATTTAAAATATGCTTTAATATATAATGGGAAATAAAAATTTATTACTAACGTAGAATATAATTATAAATAATTAAAAATACAATGTTTTGCTCATACATTGTGGCTGTCGATTTGGAAAGTTTAAACAAGAAAGGAATAAAGACAAAACATATATGAATTATCTCTGTTTAGTCCCTTTCTGCAGTTTGGCTCAACGTGAGAGATGGTGTATCTCTTACATCAGGGGTCCCCAAGCCCTGATCTGCAGCCTAATGTTGGTCCACAACCCATTCAGAACCGGGCCGTGGAAGTGGTGGGCAAGCACACATGAATGTGTGTGTGTGTTTGTGTGTGAGAAGCTGCATTTTTGAATGCAGGCTCATGTGCGTGAAACCGTCTCTCCTCCCCCACCACAACCTCCGCCTTCACTGGTCCACCAAGTTGGAAATGTTGGAGACCATTGTACTATATAGTAATTTATATATTTTTTTGCTAGAAATATAGCCTTAAAGTCTTGAAGGTAACAACTATAATCTGTTAAACTTAAATGCTGCCTGAAATTCAGTGATTCTGGGCGGCTCACACCAATTAAAAAAAAAAGTAATAGGCAGGTTTCTACTCCTTTGAAGTGCTGCTTTTGATGCACGGGATAGGAAGGGGGAAGTGGAAGCATGTGGGCCTTAATAAAATGATAACTTTTCCTATTGGCTAATATAATTGCTAAATAATGAGTAGAAAACTCAGTGGTGGTAGCTGAGTCTGCCCCCTCACCTCATTCCTAATCAGGGTAATAGGTGCCTTAGTAGTGGGAGGAGCAGCTAAAGGCACTCCATTTTCTTGCGACTATGATGGTTAGAATTTAGTGACTTCTTTCTTTTTAAAAGTGATTTTTTTTAAGGGTAGGTGTTTACTCAAGGTTTGGGAAAGGAATACCAAAAAATGAAACTGGGAACAAGAGTAGACTTGAAGCAATTTATCTATTTGTTTAGCTGAGTGAAGTGCAGAAAGATAGCAAAAAAAAAAAAAGAAGAAGCAATAACTGTGGAATTTTCCACTTTAAAGCTCTGCATGATAGCTATTTCTCCATTGGACAGGCTGACTTTTCTCCTTTCTTTTACATTGAATAATAAGTATCAATGGTCCAGTTTTGTGTAGTGATTAAAACACCAGATTAGAAACCGGGCAATCATGAGTTCTAGTTCCACTTTAGGCACAAAGTTAACTAGGTGGCTTTGGGTCAATATCCCTCAGCCCTACAAAGAAGGCAATGGCAAACTACTTCTGAAAAACCTTGCCAAGAAAACTGCAGGGATTAGTTCAGGCAGTTTGCCAGAAGTCGATGCTGACTCAGGGGCACATAAAAAATAAAATAAAAGTAAGGAATTAAGGTAGACAGGACAAAACAGGATGAGAAGGAAATATTTAGCAAATTAAATGAACACATATTGATTTGATGATGATAACCTTTATTGTCATTTTTTCCTGTGGGCACAATGGCACACATTAAAAATGAAATTTAATTGCTTCCTCTCAAAGTGTACACATATATAACACACGTGTAAAACATACTATGTACAACATATGTATAGACCTATGTGTATGTATAGACTTAGCCATTAGCTATTCCTGAACCATATTTTAGTACAGACATGTCAAACTTGTGACGTCACGCGACGTATCGGAGCTTTTTCCCCATTGCTGGCAATGGGGTGGGCGAGGTTTCCTGGTGATGCGTGTGGCCTGCGGGCTGGCAGTTTGACACCCCTGTTTTAGTATAATGTATTTGACTGAATAAAATGAGTTAACAAAAAAGGAAAACAAATTTTAATAAGGCAAAACAAAAGCAACCAAAGCACATTAGGCCCTGTGCCCTTATTTTTATTTAATTTTTTTATTTTATTTGGCTTGCATTTTTTTCCCATTCATTAATTGGGAAAAAGTAAGTTCTTCTTTAGGCTAGTTAATTTTTTAAAGATGTTGGAAATCTCAAGTATGTCTGTACATCTAATATTTTATTTGAATCCTCTGGAAGTCAAAAGTTATTTTTATTTTTTAATGAAATTAATTTATTACTAAAGGGAACATGGGACTTGTTGCTGGAATAAGGTATATTGTAAAATGCTGATATGCATTAATATATAAGATATATCTAAATATTAATTTGTCTAAATATTAATTCAGTTGAGAAGACACTGAACAAAGAGAAACAATATGTCCATTGGGAAGGAGTGTAGTATCAATTGGTTGACTGAGATCCTGGAAAGTAAATATTTTCAGATCTGTTATAATACAATCTGTAAAAATATTTTCATAGTGCTTTATTTATTACAAGGAAAGCAGAAGTTGAAAACATACTCTTAGTACTTTTGAAGTAGGATGTTCTCTGAAATTCAGCATAAAACATCAGAAAACTAATGAAGAAGCGAGTTAAACCTCTTAATGAAGGCAAGTATATTTTGGCTTTGTTCAATCACTTTTACTTCTTGTAGGAGAAGAGAATACCTATGTGAGAACACAACAAGCAGCATGGCGGATTCAGAAGATCCTTTTCTTAACAAGGCAAAGGCAGATCAAACTGGTAACTGCATTGTAAAAGTTAACTCAGGCAAACATTACTTCTGTGGTTATTGTGCAGCCATTACAAATGTTGCAGTAACTTTCCCAATCCAGAAAGTCCTCTTTCGTCAACAGCTCTATGGGGTACGAACCAGAGACGCAATATGTCAGCTACAGAAAGATGGAATCAGAAATTTGTACCGAGGTATCCTTCCTCCGCTCATGCAGAAGAGCACAACCTTAGCGTTGATGTTCGGCCTATATGAAGACTTGTCTTCCGTGCTCCTCAGACACATAAGTGCTCCTGAAACCTTTGCCCGGAGCTTAGCAGCTGTGCTTGCTGGGACCACAGAAGCCGTCTTGACCCCTTTTGAGCGTGTGCAGACACTTCTGCAGGACTACAAACATCATGACAAATTTACAAATACCTACCAAGCATTCAGAGTTCTCCGAGAGCATGGAGCCAGGGAATATTACCGGGGCTTGGTGCCAATCCTACTTCGGAACGGTCCTAGCAATGTTCTCTTTTTTGGCCTGCGAGGACCCATCAAGCAGTGCCTGCCAGAAGCAACAACTTACAGTACTCACCTGATCAATGATTTTATATGTGGAGGGGTATTGGGTGCTATGTTGGGGTTTATGTTTTTCCCTGTGAATGTTGTAAAAGCCCGCATGCAGTCACAGATTGGTGGGGAATTCCAGTCTTTTTCCACAGTCTTTATGAAGATTTGGCTGGAGCGTGACAGGAAACTGACGCATCTCTTCCGAGGGGCCCATCTAAATTATCACCGGTCCCTAATTTCTTGGGGAATAATTAATGCAACTTATGAATTCTTGCTTAAATTACTATAATTGGTTACTCATTTTCTCTCTTCAATTGAGCATCGGACAATCCTGAGCTGTCAGTTTCCAGGATATAGTGAGAAAACACTCGCAAGTATCTCTGACTCCATAACGTTTGAGAAACTAAACTGCCAACAAATGGTAGTTTCAGTTGGTATGGATATCAGTTATTTAAACAGTGCCTGACTAGTTCAAAATATAATTGTATTCACTCTTGTTCTTGGCCTTCCAATCTATGGATGTGGCAGCTGTAGGACTAAGACAATTAACTGAGACGTTTCCTGAAATATAAAGTCTGTGAGCATAATAAAAGCATAACTATGAAAATTTGCTGCAGGTCACCTTCAGCTATACTAAACCAACACTCCTGGTGATCCAAAGAATGCACTTCGTAGAAAATAGCAGAGCAAAAAACCTGATATTTAATTTGTTGCTTGACCATTTGTAACAAATGGTAGCATTTTTGTAATAAGTGGACCTTGAGTTTCCATGAAGCTTCATGTCCCCCCTCTTGTTTTTTTTTATTATGATGATGAATATTATTGTACTTTGAAAAGAGACTGCCAAATGTAGAAGAGAAAACTCTTGTCCTAAAACAGGTTCCAAGTAGTTTTGGAGCAGTAGTGATGCAAATGGCATCTTGCCAAAATTAATATTAAATTTTAGAAACTGTTGGATAGATCTCTACTGTTAAATAGTGGGTGTTGACTGTGGAGGAAAGAGTGAGAAAAGCACTGAAAAGCTTTAAAATATTCATCTTGCACTGTCACTGAATTTTTCAATGTTAATTAGTGTTTAAATTATTATTTTTGGTGAAATATTCTAATCTGGGGTTGTGGTTTCTTTTACACACATACACACGCACACTAGACACCCTTTTCAGGTTTAGAAATTTTGATACAAATCACAATTGGTGCAAACCAAAAGTAAACAAGATAAAATTCCAGGTACTATTTAGTGGTACAGTACAACTGATTAACACAACTCTGCAGAATTTTTGCATACCAAAATGAAATGTTTATTGCCATTTTTCACGGTATTTTAATCTGTTGAAAAAATTACAAAGTTTTTCACACCACTCAGGAGTGTTCACGTGGAAGATACACGAGTTTGCAAAAGGCTAGCTTGCCCTTTGCTTTTCCTTTCATGTAGATTCGTCTTCATACAAGAAAAACTGGCATAAGAGATTCATCCACTTTTAATTAGTGACAAAATTGCCTAAATCCCTTCTTTATATATAGCCTGTCCATTCACAGTCTATGAACTTGTGTGAAGGACCATGCATATATTAAAAAAGAAGGGACAAAAAAAGTCTCTGCAAATATTACACAGGGCGTCTGTGAATTTTTAATCATGCCAACAAACATACATGTGTACAAAATAGTAAGCAACGGTTGGGTTAGCAAGAGGAAATTCAGCCAAAATAATCATTTTGGGTGGGAGATTTTGTGCAAATAGGCGGTAATACTTCCTATTTATGATTTACAGGAAAGCTCTCCCAAACTGTTGATTATTCTCCAAGTGTTAGAATTATTTTCTTAAAATTTAGATAACAGTAGGTTTGAGATGGTAGGGATTTTACTTTATTTTGCCTATTGTCCCTCCCCCTACAAGAGTGCCCCAAATCAAATATTAATTGATCTTCTAGATTTCTTGATGCTTAGGATACTTAGCTTCACAGTTGGATTGCCAAGCACAAATGAAAGAATGCTTACTATTTTGAATGTTGTAATTATATATAAATATATATATGTATATATATATATTATAAACAAAATGTCTGTTGAATGTTTAACTGGTAAAATATAATTCTGCCAGAAGCAGTGTTTCTCAACCTTGACAATTTTAAGGCATGTGGACTTCAACTCCCAGAATTCCACAGCCAGCAATGCTGGCTGTGGAATTCTGGGAGTTGAAGTCCACATGCCTTAAAATTGTCAAGGTTGAGAAACAGTGTGCCAGAGGGATTTTTTTTTTTTCTGGTAACTTCCTTTGGTGGAATAAATACAAGTAAATCCAGTTTCCTGAAATGAATGTTCTGTAATAGTGTTTTGTTTTTCCCTGAACATAAAGTCAGAGAATATTTGTAGGTATGCCCTAGTCATTGTCTGCCCACTATGTATGGCTGGGATCTCAGGCCAGTCTTCCCACCCAGCCCAACAGAACAACCTTTAGTGAAACTGCAAAGAATATGAGGTCATATTTAAAAATAGTAGGGTTACAAGAGCAGTATTTAAAAAAAAACCTGGATCAATGGGGAAAGAAGGTTCAACTACCCCCATCCTATGACTATTATGATTCTAGTGGGGAGATGTGGTTGAATGAATGGTGATGTGTGTGTTTTGGCTGTGTATGTGTAATTTCAGTTCTGCCCATTCATGCAACCATCCAAAACATTCTGTGGAGACCAGTGAACTTCTATGAGGAGAAAAAAAGTACTTTCCTCTGCCCTAACAATAATCTTTAATTCTTAAATCAGGTCAAAGGAAAATGATGTCTTTTCATTAGTGGCAGATTTTTCTGTATCTTGTCCAGGGAGGCTGTGGAGATAATGTAACTTAACTTTGCATATAGAATTTTATTTTTTTAACCTGTAAAATTACAGGAAGTCCTAAACAAATCCTGCCCAGTGTTGAGTGTTGATATTGCCTTGTTTCTTAATCTTACTTTGGATATATCTGCTGTCTTACGGCTAGCAGATATTATAGTCAAGTTGCATGTAAAACTGAGGCAAGTTTCTTTGTTAAAAAAAATGTTTCTCCTAGCAACACAAACATATTAAATTGCTAATTAAGATGAACTACAGAGACTAGCATGGCTTTAAACATTTTATTAAATTCAGCATTATATGGAATAGGTTACTTCTATATTCAAGGTTTTAAGCATCACCTGATGGTAAAGTTAATAAGATGGAAATGTTAGTAATAAAGTTACTGATTACCCTTTTAACCAGCCAATTAAAAAGAAACAAGAATGCATAGTCTTTAAGAAAATATTCCCAGGTTAATTATGTTACCAGTTGGATAAAAAAATATAACGCTTTGTTTAATGAGTGTAGAATGTATGCCATTGGCTCTGAGTTACTCTGGAAGATGTTACGTTAGAGTACTATAGGATTTGTATGCTTAGCTTGGTTTCAACAAGGTTTCAACAAGGTTTACATGGTTTCAACAAGGTTAAGAAAATAGGATTATCAGATGTGCAGGTGACACAAAGCAGTGATATACCAAATACCTCAGGAACCAATATCAAGATTCAGGAAAATCTCAATAACATCAATTTCAACAAGGAAAAGTGCAAAATCCTCCATTTTTATGAGAAAAATCAAAAGCATTTGTATAGGATATGCAACAGTACATACGAAAAGGAACTGTATGTCTTAGTGAATCTCAAATGGGACGTGAACTAATACTGATATAGCTGTCTGCATGGGGCTAACCTGTGTCTACAGAAGTATGGTGTCAAGATAGTAATTCACTGTTCTTCTGTATTCAGCTTGGTAAGACTGTATCTGGATCAGTGGGTCCAATTCTCAGTACAGCATTTTGGGAAAGACACTGACAAGTTGAAGTGTGTTTTGAGGAAAATAACAAGATATTAAGAATCCTGGAAGGAAAAAGTTATGGGAATAGATGGCAGCACTCAGAATGTTTAGCCTGGAGAAGATAAGATAGTTACTTTTTCAAGTATAGGTGGTCCTTGTTTAATTATCACAACTCGGATTAGCAACTTGGTCATTGAGCAGAAGTGGTTGCTAAGTGCTAATGATTTTACTTCAGGTTTTCTTTGCTTTACAGACTGAAGAAGGTCGTAAATGTGAGGGGTGGTCATACAGAGTTACTTTTTCTTCACTGTTATAACTGAACGGTTGCTGTATGAAGCAATCACTAAACAAGGACTATCTGTATCTGAGGAACTGTCAAGAAGAAGACAGTAGATTTCTTCAGCATTATTTCAGAAAATGGACACAAAATTGGTTTCAGTTATGAGAAAGCAGATTTTAATAAGGCATCAGGAAAATTTTTCTCCCTCCGGCAATGAGAGAATCTGCCTCAAGAGATGGTGGCCATTCTTTTCCTGGAAGTATTTCAACAGAGGCTAGAAGGCCATCTCTCAGAGATGCTCTAGTTGTGGATTGCTAAGCAAGGGGCTGGACTGGGAATGTGGAGCATTAGAAACTGAAGTGTGCAGCTGCCATATGAGACCACAAAAGGCCTGCATCACACATAAATATTGTAAGGGAAGAAATAGCTCTTCATCGTCATGCTAATTGAACAGGGCAGATTGTTTGCTTCTGTCCATGGGCCATTTCCCACTGATGAGTTAAAGTACTAAGCCATTCATGAGAGCAGTAAACTAGACTGGCATGACATTTGCTCTCTACCTGCCTCCCCCCCCTTACTGATTCCTAGCCTGCCTCTATTGCCTCTTTTCAACTCATGGTAATCATCTAACTTCCCTCCAGGTTAATGGATAATGAGTGACGAAGCTTACTAAATTTTATACCAGAGTTTTCAATACTGTTTTTCACAAAATCCTCAGCTTCTTCAAGAAGCTAAGAAAATGTATACAAGCGAGTGCACACACAAACAAGTTCACTCAGATGCAGCTAATCATAACTAGAGCATTACCTCTTGATCAGAGTTCCTGGAATTTTTTGTTTAACTAACCAGTTCCACAGCTTGAAAAAGTTTTTAAAACTTTTTTTTATAGCTCTTATGGCTGCTCATGTATGACATTTAACATTTAAGCCTGTCCCAGAGCTTGGACGAGATGAGGGCATTGCCAGGGGAATACATTAAGCAACAACAGACGAGGTTATGTGTAGCATAGTTCAGTGCAAGTAGAGAAAAATTTGCTTCAAACCCATTGCTGAAGAACAATCCGTATTAGCAAAAAGTGAGTATTTTACTAGCAAAAAAGGATTAGTTCTCTCACAATCCCAGCCCAACTACAGGTAGTCCTTGACTTACAAACCATTCATTTAGTAACTGTTCAAAGTTACAATGACACTGAAAAAAAGTGGTTTATGACCGTTTTTCACACGACCGTTGCATCCTCCCCATGGTCATGTGATCAAAATTAATATGTTTGGCAACGGACTCATATTTATGATGGTTGTAGTGTCCCGGGGTCATGTGATCACCTTTTGCAACCTTCTGACGAGCAAAATCAATGGGGAAGTTGGATTCACTTAACTAATTTAACAACTGCAGTTATCCACTTAACAACCGTGCCCAGAAAGGTCATAAAATGGGGCAAGGCTCACTTATCTGTCTTGCTTAGCAACAAAAAGTTTGGGCTAAATTGTGGTCCTAAGTCAAGGACCACCTGTAAAGCTTCCCAATTTGTCTAAAAATGTCTTCCCCATGGGTAATTGGAAGTTCTGAGGAATGGACAACAATTTGGTCTCAGAATGGGAAAAAAATGATTTCTCTGCCACTCATCTTAACAAACCAGATTTGGGGATGTACAAATTGCTTCGAACTAGAGTGTGGAGGAAGATGTCATGTACCTGAATCTACTCTCAATGAAGAAAGGTATCTTGTACGTAAACTAGTAATAGAGCAGAATACATATTCCATATAGTCCTCGACTTATAACCATTTGCGTAGTGACCGTAGTTACAACGGCACTGAAAAGAAGTGACATGATTGTTTTTCACACTTAACATTGTTGCAGCATCCCCATGGTCACCTGATTAAAATTTGGATACTTGGCAATTGGCATTTGTATTTGTGACAATTATACTGTCCTGAGGTCATGGGAATCACCATTTTTAATCTTTCCAGTCAGCTTTCAACAAGCAAAGTCAATAGGGGAAGCCAGATTTGCTTAGCAACCACATGATTAAGTGATTTGCTTACCAACAGTGGCAAAAAGGTCATACAATGAGGTACAACTCACTTAACTGCCTCAGTTGTGATCATAAGTTGAGGACTACTATGCTGGTATAGACAAGTTTCAAGGATTCTTCTTCTCACTGAGAGACCTGTTGTAAGACACACCCTGTGGAATATTTCCAGGGAGAGCCACAATACAAGTTTACCATTTACCACAAAGCAGTAGGTAAATACAATTAACTTGGATTAAATGAGGTTGGGAGGAGGAAAAGGTTTAAAATTATAACCTTGAGTTTATTTTAACCCAATACTTCTTTTCTTCTTATTCAAAAGTTGCAGTTGAGTTGGAATCCAAGTAGAAGCAGCTGAAGTAAAACCCAAATAACCACAGCTAGGCTTATTTATAACAGCATTAGCAGCATCTAAATGTTAGCTTTTCTTGGAAAAAGCATTTAGATCTAGTTAGTGCAGTGGTTCTCAACCTTTTTAATGCCGCGACCCCCAACCGGTCGTAAGTCGAGGACTACTCAACCGGTCGTAAGTCGAGGACTACTCAACTGGTGCAGTACCGTTTGCAGAATGGGACTTTTGGCAGGCTCAGCAGGGCAGAGACAGCCTGAACAATTCCTATTGGTTTTTGAAAGCCAATAGAATTAGACTCTATTCAAGAGAGTCTGTTCTATTGGCTTTCAAAAGCCAATAGAATAAAAGGGAGTAGCACAGCTAAGGGGGAATAAAATGGCAGACTGCGTTGTTTGGCGACCCCCGTGAAATGGTCGTTCGACCCCAAATGGGGTCCTGACCCACAGGTTGAGAACCACTGAGTTAATGCTTAGATAGGAGAGCGCAAAGGCAATTCTCTATACATTTTCATTGAACTCAACAGTACAAATGTGATTTAATGGATAGGAAGAGACATCAATTAAATCCAACTTTATTACAATGGTTTCTACCCAACATACAAAAAAATATAGGATTTTCCATAGGAAAGTCTACTTGGGAACATGGTTTCATCCAATTTCATCTTCCTCCTTTTTATACTAACTTCTTACCCAACCCAGGGGTATCAGATTGGTTTCTGGAAAGCAATCTTTTTTCTTAAAAAAACAAACAAAAAACAAATGATGTCACTGTGCAGTTGAGCCACTCCCTCTGTAGAGTTTAGTGGCATCTAGTTGCATTTACTAGCTGGGGCACTCATTTCAGTTAACTGGTTGGTTAATAATTGCTTGAATAATTGAATTCACAATATTAAGCTAAAACAAAACAAACATCTATGGTTTCATACTATGCATGAATCAGCTATATATACAATATGAATCTTGAGTTTCTGAAGAAGAGAATTAAACACATAATCCTTCACGCTGGTGTTTGATATAGTATAGATCCAGAGAAAATTTATGATCGAAACACTTAATACTTGAAACATGGTAAAGAGGATTACCAATATTTTAGTGTTGAATATTAATTTTGAGTATCTAAAAGATACTTGATTACATCGATCTACATTACTGAATGCTTTAGTTTGTTCAGTGTTCAATTTTTTTAAAAAAAAATCTAAAATGCAACTGCACACTAGTGGAATACGAGCAACAAATTCAGAGTATGAAGTGTTTATTAAGCAAGCAAGAGAAATCGTTCAAACATTTACATCACCCGTGTAAGAGTAAATACATTTTCTAGACAGATCTTATAGATGTATTTAAAATGTACACCTTTTATTATGAAATAATTTCAAAGTACTCTACATGCACCAATTTGTACTTCCATATTTAAAAAGAAACATTTTTGCACGAGATGGAAAGATAAATGTTTACAAATAAGCCGACACAACAAAGCTATTAACAAATGGGATGCAAATTATTTAAAGAACTGACTTTAGATTAATGTACATTTCAACTCATCTATTTACTTCATTTTTTTCAGCCTCTTCTGTTTTGACATTTGGGAAATAATTCTCCATTATAGTGGTCTCCAAATTTCACTCAACAGTTTTCCACAATGATCTACAAAAGGGAGGAAAGCTCTCTCTTCCAAACTAGCATCAGTTGGTCAGCTCTGTCTGATACATGGACATCTAAAAACCGCTGTTTACAGAATTCATACATTGGTGGAAGTCATACCCAATCCCTTTTTAGATTGAATCTGGAAACTAGTACATTTTTATGCAACTATTTTTCATATAAGTAGAGAGAAATGTAATTGATATTTTTACAGAACTCATCAAATCTCTATCTGCTAACTTTTGCAATGAAATCCTGTCCATGAAATATGTTCACTCGCATCCAATGGTGTTTATTCCATAATATATTTAGAATTTCCGCCTTCCCCATGCTTTAGAGCTAAAACCTGACATTCATTAGAAAAAAGGCGAAAAGAAAGAATATTTAGGTGTTCAGAGTCAACCTGTAACAAAAATATTTGAGAGAAAAGCATGCAAAATATGCAACAGCTTCCAATTCTGATCATCTATAACTGGTATACAGTGTCAAAGCAATTGCTTTCATGCTCAAGGAATACTTTCCACATGAATTTGCATGCTAAGAAATTAACTCTGGGGCATGTTCAAGAATATGTACCCTATTCCCACAGGTATTGAGCTTCAACATTTTGATTCCCCAAACATCTTGACATTTTCTTACCATTGTACATTATACCAGATTAATGGTGTTGGGCCAGCTGTCTTTCAGGTAATGTTGCCAACCGTAGCTGACAGTTTTCAATGCAAATTTTGCACTTGGAATAAGTGGCAATTTTAATGTGTGCTCTATGCCCTTTAGAAATCAATGCAACAAATTCTAGTCTGATTTCAATGTCATTGAAACATTTTTCACAACCTAAGTGGCAATATTTTATCAGTAGAAGCCCTTTTTACCCCTGTACAGTACTCAAGATTTATCCATTTTCAAATCTGATGTATATTACTGCACTCAGTGTACATTCAGCAACAATTAAAATTGTACGTATCAGTAGTGTGATGATAAATTCTTATAAGGTTTTTGTATCAATGTATCAAACTCAATAAATACAATGTATCTGCTCTGGCTGATATGTTATGCTTTCTACAGTTTAATATACAAAAATATGATTAAGCTATTCAATTAAAGAATATAAGGGCATAGTACATATTCCGTTCAGAATCATAAACAGATGTAAAAGTTGATATAAATAAATGATGTGAAAAGGAAAAATGGTATGAATCAGTTATAGTTATAGCTAATGTTTACTGGAGATCTTTGAAAAGACATGCATAAGAAGAATGTTAACTTTCAATGCTGCATTTTTATAATCAGGCAACTTTCCCCTTATTAAGGAACAGAGATTGTTCCTAGGATTTTACAAAGTTAAATGTTAATATTCATTAAGCCAAAATAATAACTAAGCTCGAAACATTCCCACTCTAAAATGTTTCATTTTAAAAAGCTATGTGGCCGTACTATCTAACATCACTAAATGTTCTTTACGGATGATAACTACGAGACCGAGTGATCAGTGACTCACTGAACATTTCTAAAACTAAGATTAAGTTCAGTATAGTATATGATTTTAAGATATTGAAGTACTAAACCAATGTATGTAGCAGTAATCAAAGCAGTGATGTAAAAAAATAAGCAAAGCTCATGGAGACTGTGGATTATGGGGGTGGTAATCCAACACATCTGGAGACTCAGAATTGGTGAAAAACAGCAGCGTTCTAGCACTACATGCAGAATATTGAATAGCCTTGCTTTGCTTCAAGGGGCCATTCTCAGTTGCCTAAGATAATTCCTTTGCACTGCTGGCTTTGTGCATTTTGAAAAGGAACTACGCTGATTTTAAAAATAAGCATACTTTTGTTTTGTTTTTAAAGAAAAGCATGATATGAGGTAGGAATTTTTTTAAAAATGCAATGCAATATTTAATTTACAGTGATTGCAATACAATAAATTCAGTTCTACTAAAAAATATAAGCCACGTTCAATTACTCTCTGCATTTCTACTGAAGATTTTTAAAGCTTTAAGAAGGGTTAGATTAGGGTAATCCAAACACCAAATCATCTTCATGGCTGCATGTCAGAATTCCATAAGGATTATGGAAAGTGCAAAATGCTTCCTGGGAAACTCAGCATCTTGGTTTTTGTTTTTTAAAAAAGAAAATGTTCCAACTCTTATGATTGTAAAAATATGCTTGAAAATTATATTAGAACTTGGAGGAGGGGACACTTTTTCAGTGACTGGAATTAGTGTCTTGGTTCTTAGCTTGCAAAAGCAATGATTGATTGTTCATCTTACCACAAGAAGAGATGCTAAGTATTTGTTCCATATGCATATTTTCCCACATGTTGCAGAATCTTACTATTCGGTCAGTTTTTGGTCTGTGACAGAATTTACAGTTATACTGCAAAATATTTGAGAAGTTTGATTAAGAAATAGGTAAAAAATTACCATGACGGAAGCTTTTGCATTATCAAAATAAAACGACTAAACAAAAATACTTTTAAGAATCCAGCTCACTGAAATATTATCTGGAAGAAAATTACATAAAGCTTGATCTGGAAGCTTGAAAGATAATTTTTTATAACATAACATATTGATCCATTCATACTGTTGATTCATTCATTCATTCCATTATGTAGCTCCCCACTTGCCAAACAGCTCTTGCTAGTAATAGTGAAGACTATTTCTATGATTGTACTTTAAAGTTAGTATCATCTAGGCAGCTTCATTCCAAATAAAACAGCATCTGATCTTTTTTGAAGTATAGTCATAGCTACAAATACACAGCCAACCAATTGAATTTTGAGATAACATTTATAGGCAATTCAAAAAGTATTTTAGCATAATTTGAAGTCACTGGAACTGTACTAAGATTGACATTAGCAAAAAGGCACTGCATTTCAGAAAACCATTGCTCTTTTTGAATGAGAACTCTGAAGAAACCCTGCTTCTTAGCCTACAAATTTTGTACTAAAAAAAAGAGCTCTGAAGATAAATGTAGGCTGACAGTCAAGACAATGTAAACCTGTATAAGTTCAGATTCGTCGGTCTACTTAGATGTATGCCATTTACTGCTCCGAATCACAGCCATTCTCCAGGACATCAAAGGGAATAATTCAGTAATTTCCTTCATCAAATAACTTTAAAAAAAAAGATTTCAACAGTACAACCTGGAACTTATGCATTTAAAGCTTGCACTCTGCTTGGGTGTATGCATATGCACATACAGAAGTTCACTTTCTCAAACTTTCCTGACTAGGTGATTCAGTTTCACAGGAGAACCTAAAACACGGGAGTTACACTTTTATCCCCCAAACACTTGTTTTTAATCCCCAGAATAACTTTTATGTAACCTTATCCTACATAAAAAATAAGCAGAATTCAAATTCTGGCAGCTGGACTAAGGGAAGTTTCCATTTTATGTATATATTTTTCTCATAGTATAGAATTAATGACCTATATATACACAAAACTCTGATTCATAACCACTGGCTTGTACTTCTATGTGCAGTTTAAGCACCATGAATCTTCTCTGCATCCCCCTGCTCCTTTTAACTAAATCTGACATACCAAGAATCTCCTTATTCTGTAAGTCCATTTGGCCTTAGGTTTATTTCTGACAGATATAACTCAAAAGTTGAACCAAACACAATAACTTTTTCCTCTGTAAATATAATAACTAGTTACAGGGTTTAAGAATAATATTTTCAGACCCTCGTAATATGCCAGTTCTCACAAGTGTAGTCTTGGAAGATTACTACTGATTGGACATCAAAAAATATACCTACTCATGTGAAAATGAAATAACTGGGAAGTTTTCAAATGGAAAAAGAAAAGATGGAGTCAGTATGTATACAAAAGCACAAAGACATTTCTCCTTCCATCCCAGTCTAACCTCCAAAAGAAAGAAGCAGGAATACAGGAATCATACAGAGTTCAGATGCTGTAAGAAGATTAACGTTTAATGATTTACCTTAAAAAAGATTTTGGGATTGGGGAGAAGGAAGAAAGGGAGTGTATCGCAACATTCAATGTTTAGGTGGACCAATGTAAATATGGTGCTGCTGTCTACCTAATTGCTTTGCCATCCATTTGAAATCTTGACAAGGTTTCAAGTACCTGCTGTCCAGTTCATATTCCAATGATTGATCTAACCACATATTTTTTATTTACAAAGTAATTATCTATGATAAGCCATGGCCTATATTACTTCTCTCTGCAGCCCAGTTAAAGGGACAATAGTTGACAACCAGCATTTTCTATTTTTTGGTTTTCTGTCTCAGCTGTTGTTGTTTTTTTTATGCCTTTGGGGTATACATAAAATTTAAGCAGAAATGCATATATTCTAAAAATTTTAAGCAAAGAATAGATTAAAAATAAAAATGTAAGATTGGACTCAAACCATAGAGCTTGATCTGCAAACTGATTTTAAATCTGATTTTATCTTATAATTCAAGAACTGATTATGTGGACATATCTAGCTAATTCAGATCATCCAGCAAAAAGTGATTTGTACTTAATTTTAAATGGAAATTGTATTTATCTCGTATCTACAATATATTTGTTTACCTTTCCCTCACATACATGAGAGCACCATTTAAATACACCACATGGGTAAGCAGGTTTTGGATTAAGAAAATCGTTCTAGCCATTAAAATAGATAGCTAGAAACTCAACTCTTGACGATGAACAATATTAAACAAAGACTGAATCACCAGAAGAACAAGAAGTATAGGTATTGTCTGCCATTCCATCCTATATCTAACTTAAGATATATTTCAGACAGCATAGCTCTAGGCTTGTTCATATTTCTGTTAATCTATTAAATCAACTACAGAGCATATGGTGATCAACAGCTACATTCTAGTCCCATAAGCCACAAGTTTTTAATAAAATGGCTACACAAACTATTCTGAGAATCAGTCAACACTTTTTTTTTCAGAACAGCATCTATAGACATCTATTATCCAAAATCTGATATATTTCTGAGCCACTTTATAAGTTTATTCTGTATTTGGCATAATTTTCAGAAAAACTTGCAGAGCGGCTAATTGCTAAAGGAAACTTGTCCTCCTACTGGAAAAATCACTTTCTTTTAAAAATTATTCAGGCATGCATTCATATTAGTTTCCAGGATATCAGATAGAAAACTGTCATGTAGATGAGTTTTAGATGATTTAAACAGATAGGAACGAGAATTTGGCAAAACCTTAAGTCTCAAAATGGCTCTGAATCAAACACTTTGCCTGTCGAAACCAAGGAGCCAATGATCTGTCACCTTACTTGCATATCTACGGAAAATGACACGCAATTAATTTATGTTTTATGTATCTCATGTTCAATGGAAATTCAGCGATCTTCTAGTACAGTGTTTCCCAAACTTGACAATTTTAAGGCATGAGGACTTCAACTCCCAGAGCTGGCTGTGGAATTCTGGGAGTTGAAGTCCACATGCCTTAAAATTGTCAAGTTTGGGAAACACTGTTCTAGTATAAGGAATTCTGCTTATGCCTCTACTGGGCAACAACAGGACATTTGATTTTGTTGAAACATCTTCAGAGGTATTACAGCCATGTTACTATGACATGTTCTCACATGCAAATATGCTAATAAAATGTGTTACTATTGGAACAGAAAAAAATATTTAGTTTGGCAAAACCTTTTGATTTTCATATACAGCTGGTGATAATTTTATATATATACACAAACATAAACACTATATCCAATTTGACGCGGGAGAAAACCCGAATAACCAAAGACCTACATACAAACACCCCCGAAAACCTCAGAAAACAAATATATATATATGTAGGTCTTTGATTATATAATCTATAATCTTGCAACATATGGTGTAAGGTGTGTGCACTAAAGTTTTTTTTTTCCACATGCTATAGCTTACCTGTGGGTGGCTTGCAAGGCACATCAAAAGCCAACTAGCCTTAATCATGTTGCAAACATAAATACAGGACTGAGCAGCATTCATTTGAAAACTGACATTAAAAAAAAGATTTTATTCAATTTCAAAGTCCTTTGTTGCGATGAAACCAATCACGAGAAAGGACCCAAAGCTTCAGGATGTTCGCCAGCACCAGCCTCTTTTAAATGAACAGAAGGTTAGTTTAAAGCTCCACCAAAACTTGTTTGCTTAAAAGCTCCAATTCATTTTACTGAGGTTTGTGGTGGAGAATTTCCTGCCAGATTGTAAATATATATGGTTGGGCACATACTCCCTTCTCCAAATCTATGTCCAATAATTTTATAGAAGATGGTCCTTTAACAGAAATTTGTAAAAGAAAAATGTTAAGTTATTCAGTTCCCAATAAACTTTCTCCAGCAAGTCAAGGATGGACCTAGATGAGAGGGGTTTGTATGGGGGAGCACAGAGCGATAATTAACACTGCACAGTTCTTAAAGAGTACCAGCCTACAAATTGAACCACAGCAGAAAAATACAACAAAGTAATGATAACAGTCTATTTAGTTGTTCACGAAAAAATAATGTAAATGCTGGCTATAATTAGTCCAATGTGCAAGAAAGTGCTCTATTACTTAGGAGAAAATATACAGCAAAATCCAGAAATCAAAGAGTCCAAGTGGGCTGATCTCCACTCCTTTGATACAAAGCAGCAGACAAGTTTTAGCTGGTTGTTTCCCCTCCTTTCAAGCCCACCCAAAATCTTGCATGAAGAGACACACAGAAAACAAGGTTTACAAGTGCTACCAAGCTACTTCTAAATAGAGATGGAATTATCAGGAGCAGAAAGATACACAAAATTCTAATGTGCAAATTCAGTCACAGCACATAAAGGACTGGACTTGGAATCAGCTTTAAGTCCAATATTAACTCTGTACTTGTCCAAATTTACAAGACTTGTTTAAAAAAGCAAACACTCCAACTAAACTGAAGTAATTAAAAAAAACACACACAGAGATGTTCCTTTGAAGGCCAGGGGAGCCTAGAACTTTGGCTGATATAAAGATACACGACCACTAAGGCACCCAGAGGCAATCTGACAGTGCGTGGGGGAGAACTTGGTAGTCAGAACCACATCGCCGTGCGAGTAGAGTGAACGGATCTCCTGCAAGGGGGCGGCTTCTTTGGGCAAGCAGTCAATCAGTTCGCTGCACTGGGTGTCAAACCCCAACAAACGGATTCCATAGCCATGTGGGGAGGAGATCATTCGACCATCGGGGCTGAAACAGAGTTCTTTAATGTAGCCCTGGCCAACATTGGCCTCTTCGATGCAATGAGTCAATCTGAGGGAACAGCGAGGGGAAACTGGCCGCACTGGTGCTCCTTCCTGGAATTCATAAACACAGGTCCACTACAGAAAGTAGGGGGGAAATAACATTTGATGTTATATCAGTATAGAAATTGCATAAATCTCTGTCTCTCTCTCTCTCTTGAGGTTTCATGGAGACATTCTTGTGACAATGTGGATAGTCTACCAGTGCTTCCCTGTTGTCTCCCATCTAAATATTAAACAGACCTGATCCTTCTTAGTCTTTCTAACTTAGCCAGGACTGGTTATTTTCTGCCACTTAGACTCAACCAGCATTAACTGTGCACAATGTTATAATTAATTACATGGGCATCAGGAATAGCAAGGCTTTATAAACTCTGGTTATAATTTCTTGAATTCAGCATTTTCTCAATGACTAAACAAATGCTTAAAGGTAGTAAGGGAAGTCTTCAGAAAAATATGATTTATGAATAGAGACATGTGTTTTTAGCTACTGAGTTCATATTAAACACTTATTCTTTGTGAATTTTCTAGTCCCCTTTAAAGCCATCTAAGCTACGGGGCTCTGATACAGACAGTCCTCAACTTACAGCAGTTCATTTAGTGACTATTCAAAGTTACAACGGCACCGAAAAAAGTGACTTATGACCATTTTTCACACATACGACAGCTGCAGCATCCCTGTGGCCACATGATCAAAATTCAGGTGCTTGGCAACTGACTCATATTTATGATGGTTGCAATGTTCTGGGGTCATGAAACCACCCTTTTGTGACCTTCTGACAAACAGTCAATGGTGAAGCCAGATTCACTTAACAACCGTGCTAACAACTGCAATGATTCGCTTAACAACTATGACAAGAAAGGTTGTAAAATGGGACAAAACTCACTTAACAATTGTTTTGCTTAGCAACAGAAATTTTGGGATCAATTGTAGCCGTAAGTCGAGGACTACCTGTATGTCTGTACAATTATACTCAGTTCATTATACATTGTATATCCTTTTGTGTATCCTGAATCTTGGAACCAAAATAAGCTGAGAATATGATTTTCTGTGTCTTTCAGTCATTGCACAAGAGAGAACATGATATCACCTTGAAAGATGATGAAAAAGAATCAAAATAATGAATCAGATATTCAACTGCATCATTTTCAGCCACACTAAGTTTACCACATCATTCACTGATCCAAATATATGAAGGAAACACTGCAGCTCAAGATTACAATTGTACACACAGCTGCCACATTTGTTCTGTATTTCTTATAATTTATCAGTGGAGTGACAATTGACTTCTGTTCCATTAACAAATAAGAAATCTGAAGTGATGAAGTGATCAACATACATATGCACCATTATCACCACCCTACTTTACCTCCTGATCATCAGTGTTACTTGAACATCGAAGAAGTGTAGCCCATCCTTTGGGATGGAGCTGCAGTGATGTAATGCAGTTTCCCCGATCCCTCTCCCCTGGGACCTCTGGGGTTAAAACCTCAAGACTATTACGTGGAGATCCACCTAAGGGAACAGAATAGCATCACTATGATTAACACCAATTTTAATTCCCTCCTTGTCCAATAGGAGAGAACATTCTGAACTATGAGCCCACGCCCATAAAGAGGAGGCTCAGATTTTAAAATTAGTAGTTTACTTGTTTTACATACCTTCTCGCTGAGTTACTCGTACTGTATGTTTTTCAGTATGTGGGCTTGAATCTCCTTGATGTCCTGGTGACCCAGCACTTCTAGGACCAGATGAAGTGACAGATGCCAGATCTGAGAATGGAAAAATAAGATGAGGTAACAGCAAACCCAATTGGTTGCCTATTTCTAAGATGTATTACAAAGGTTTATAAATTAATAGTTTACAGATTATTTTCCTTGGAATCTCAGTCCTCTTGAAAACTGAAGAATCCTTGTTATTCCCAGATCAGTAACAGCAGAACATACTGATAAGGCAACCCTTATACTGGCATTCTTCTAGAAAAAGCTGCCATGCAAAAACATTAGGCTGGCTTCAGCTCAAAAAGTCACAAAAAGAACAGGCACCACAGTAGTTCATATGCCACTCAAGAGCACTGCCGGCTCTTCATAAAAAGAGGCAAAGCTAACAAACCATAAGTGGCTCCATCCAGATTGATTAACATGTATGACCATGAGATGGTAGTTTATTCTAAGAGAAAGAAAGCTTATGCAGTTTATTTCTCAAAGGTTTTAGTCACCCTAGGGCAGGCTGGCTCAGGAATTCTGGGAGTTGAAGTCCACGAGCCATAAAACAGCCAAGGTTGCCTACCCTTGCCTTATGGCAACTAAGTCAGCTAAAAATAGACACAAAGATGCAATAAACAATGCATTCAAAATTAGCAGTGGCTGAATTCATACACTGAAATTAACTTAATATGGTGTACAAATGAAGCCAATGGGTATAAATTTAGTGTTTGCAAGTTAGTAGGGAAATACTATGCACGAACTCTCAGCACATGTCCTTCACTCCGCAAATCTTTTGCAATATATCTAGCATTCAAGCTTTTCAAGTTACCTTCTTGCATACAATGCTATCTATCCAATGCCATCTATTATCTCGTAAGATCTAGGAACAGTATAGACAACAGGGGTAACAATAGCAAAATCCAAAGACTTGCCAGAATTTGATGTGGTTCTCCTGGCTCTCAGAATGGGATAACTGACAACTTCTAAAGATTTGGTCAAGTCGAGATCATGCAAGATCAGAAGATACCCAGAAGAAGTGGAGATCAGCATTTTGGAGCAGTCTGGAGTCAATCTCATGCGCATGAGAAAGCGGGTGTGAAAGAACTTCTTGTGAGGACAACCGTATTCTGTGCACCTAAGGAAAGGCACCCATCAAACCACAGGAATCTTTTTTTTTTTTTTTGTCACCAGAAGTTGGAAGGTCTGACTGAACTTTTTTTACTCCCACAAACTCCGTTTCCTTGCAGCAGAAGAGAAATGCGCCAGAGCTGGAAAGCAGATTAGCAAAAAAATGCTTTCGGGAAGAGGGAGGAGATGCGCCGGGAGAAGCGGCAGGAAACGGGGCTGCCGTTGCCAGAAGGGAGAAGGGAGACACGGGGCAATGTAGGCAGCAAGCAAGTGCTGTTCTCTGCTCTGCATCCTGCGCAGAGCTGCTGCATTCTCCGTTCTCCACGAGACAGGCGACAAAGAGGCAGGTGATCTGCGGGCCAAAGCTTAAAGAAAGCCCCTTCAGCAGCGCACAGCGGCAACGGAGTTCTGAAATGATGGAGGGGAACCGGCCCTACCCCGCCTATCCCATCCACCATAGCATGGCAGTCTGGCTCAGGAGGGGAGTGAAAGGTTGCCGTTCAAGGAATGGCCTGGCGGGGGGGGGGCTGAAGTACCGGTAAGCGGGTGCAGGACACGTGGGACAGCTCCACCCCCTCCCTCACCTGCCTCGCCTTGTTGTGTTGGTAGCGTGATGTGCCACACGGCCTCCTGCCCCATTGTGGCAGCGAGGCGGGACGGAGTGGGCAGGGTCCTAACTAGGGCTTATTTTGGGGGTAGGGCTTATATTAGCCACCCCAAAAAATCAGGGTAGGTCTTAGTTTAGGGGAGGGGCTTATTTTTGGGGAAACACGGTAGTTTTAAGAAGCCCAATTTTTAGTCCTGTGTTTGAGGTGGTATTTCTCTTAAAGAATAATACTCATTTTTCCTCTTCCTGTTCGACCTATAATTTAAAGGAAAGCAAAGTGGCTACACTGTTATTTTTCTATTGATATTTTGATAGTGAGGAATCTCAACCTGAATATGCCTACTGAAACAGTTGTACCAAAGAACTAGCTTTCTGTCTCATTCAACTGCATCCCCAAATCATCTGCTCCATAGCTTCAAGAAGCAGCAGGATTTTGCTTTCCTTCACAGGTTGCTGGCAGTGTTTCATATGCAGTACACAGGCAGAAGGACGCAAGCTTCAAACAAATAGCAGTTGCTATGACTCAGTACTATTGCTGCTTATAAAGTAAAACAACGTGTGGCAGATGATTCTAGAATATATTCCCACACCTCTAATCCACCAATATTGTATGTGCTGATGTAAAGCACTGGGATATTATGCAGTGATGACAAATCACTGCTGCTCAAACCATCTAATTGGTTTCAGTATAATAGTTCTAATTCTCTTTTTTTAATCTGTTTTATTTTTTTATAAATAAAACTCCTGGATTTATGGTCATAGTAAAGATTTGATGTAGTCATTCTTACTCATCTACTAAAATTTAAAAATGTTTTGAGATTCTGCTCCAGGTTTGGCTCCAAGTGGGCAATTTCCAGAAGCCTTATGCTAATTTCAGTTATTGCAGTTTGTTGACTTTACAATAAAGGGGAAAGGAAAGAATAAAGGATGGTAGGGAATGCATTTTGACCTACATCTGCACAACACTAAGACATGAACCAAGAAACTCAAAGTGCAACCCTATCCTATTTCCACGCAGATAACAGCTTTTCAATTAAGATACTAAAAAGGAAGTATTATTGTCATTTCAGTAGTTCTCAATGAACGAAGGGATCAATGAGAAATTTGTTCACCTGTTGGTATCCCAAATGATGACATTTCCATCAAATCCTGATGTTACTAGCAATCTTGTGTTAGTATCATATTCAATATTCTTCACCCAGCTGGTGTGACCATGTAAAGTGCACACTTTTGAATCTAGCTTCCTCAGATCCCATAGTGCCACGGTAGTATCATCAGAGCACGTTGCAAACAATCTGTTATCAAGAAACCTACAAATACAAAAAAAAAAAGGGAAGGGAAGGGACAGGATCTGTTTAATGCAATCGAGTTCATATCAAACATCACTAAATCATAACACTAAATGTTACCCTGCACTGATTCCAAATAATAATTATATAGTATAGGGTAGTATCAGTTTAGTGCTTTTAGAGCATCTGAATTCTGAAAGACTAAAGCAGTTCTCAAAAATGGGCTGTAGTGCTTGAGGTGAGAATTTGAGGACCCGCTAGTTTAAGAAACATCAGAAGAAGCTTTCTAAGGTAGCCAATTTTACATTTGGCTTATTTAGTAAGAATGTATGAGAGGTACTGTTACTTTGTCATTTCACAATCCATAAAAAATACCTCATTTGAAAAGAAACACAAATTTTAAATAACTATAAACAATTACATCATGTTCAATGATTAGCTTTGATTAGTTTTAATCAATGTTTTCCTAGTTACTAACAAAGCAATGTGTTCAGTCAAATTTGAAATTAAGTTTTCATGTTGTTATATATTTTTCTTTGGATCCTTATTCTCCATTTGGAATTATATCTGCCTTAAATTCTTTCCTATTGCCATAGTTTTTTGAACACTGTAATTATTACTCTGGTTTGTGATCACCTTGGATAGGAGGAAGAACTGGCAGCAGTGGAACACATTTCTTTATCCAACCTCTGGGGTTCTTGGGCACGGCTGGTGCTAACTATTGTAGAGGAGGGGTGAAAAATTTAAGGACCTGAAAACATAGGACCCCTCTATAAAGACTGGGGCTCCTACAATAATCTGTGCTCCTCCACATTACCCGCTCACTGGCCACAGCAATGTGGCTTGGATCTCCACAAAGACATGAAAGTAATATAACAAATTATGATACCAATTGATGAGAGCAAGAAAAACAAATGTTTTGAATGGCAACTAATTCGGATGACATTACAACAGGGGTTCTCAACCTTGGCAACTTTAAGACTTGTGGACTTCAACTCCCAGAATTCCTCAGCCAGCTTTGCTGGCTGAGGAATTCTGGGAGTTGAAGTCTACAAGTCTTAAAGTTGCCAAGGTTGAGAACCCCTGCATTACAACTTCATCCTTCACTACTGTTAAGATTTGAACGAAACAGTTTTGGAATTTTAGTCATTGGCAATTGATTTTCACTTCCCAAGAGACTGACCTGATATTATTTACACAATCCTCATGAGCAGTGGAAAGGGTTTTGATGTGCTTTGAAGAGATGGGATCGAACAGCAGGACTTCTGTTTGTTCACAAGCAACAGTTAGCACTGACCTGGACAGCAAAGAGAAGCAGGTCTATTACACCAAATAAATCTCACATGCTCTCACAAGAAAGACTCCAAAAGGTCCATGCATGCTTAGAAATGAATCAGTAATAATGCTAATAATGGAACAAAGCTGTTCCTTTTGTGTTAATTTTTTCTATAGAAGCAAGAGTGCACTGAATAAACAGAATAAAAATATAATAACTTTTTTGTTTTGTTTTTTGACTCAATCTTGACTTCAAGCAACTGCCTGGACAAGTCCTTGCAGTTTTCTTGGCAAAATTTTCAGAAGTGGTTTGTCTTAGCCTTCTTTCTAGGGCTGAGAGAATAGAATTGCCCTAAGTCACACAGCTGGCACTGTGCCTAAGGCAGGACTACAATACACAGTGTCTTGATTTCTAGTCTAGTTGTTTTAACCATTACACCAAACTGGCTTTCTTCAATAACCATAGTGTAATATTTCTAGCTAAAGTACTCTAAATTATGTTCTACATATTTAAAACATTAATTTTATTTTCTTCCACTTGCTTCAGTATTATGAAGCAGAAACTGTTTCATGAATTCTTCTAGCCCTTCTGGTAAAACTGTTGTCCATACACAGTTGTCCAAAAAGAACCAATCAGGAAGATGCTTCCTTCAATCATCCAAGGTTCAAGCGTAGAGAAATATCACTCTAATAATGGGAGAACGTACTTTCTCCCCAGATGGAGTTCCAGAAGGCTTCAATTTTTATTTATTCAATTCAATTTAGGTACTACCAAATCCATCTGACCCTGTGTGAGTCCTCAAACAGTAACATTAAAACCCAAACTATAACCGAACTAAGATGGGATCCAGGCACAACATGCAAGCAAACATAAAAAAGCAAGAGACACCCCCAACAGGCCCCCCCTTCCAAATCACACCAAGGCTTTGAAGTCCAGAGGGGTGGGAGCATATAGATTTCACAGGGTAGCTCATTTCAAAGGGCACCCACTGTGACAGAGAAGGTTATGCTCCTTGGGTCCCAACAGATGACATTCTTTAATTCAAGAGAACCAGAGTGGGCTAACTCTGTGAACATCCTACCAGCTGGGTAGAAACCAAGGGAGACAGGTTTCTCAATAACTTTGTCCTATGCCCTGTAGGGATTTACAGGTGATTTCATTAATGAGATTACTATTTTATCAATGAAATTACTAAGATGATAAAATGTAATTGGCTATTTACACACAAAGAAACAATAATTTAAGCCATCATCTGGTCTTTATTTGAATGTATTTCCTATTCAAGGAAAAGAAAGAACTTTCCTTCCTCCCTCCCTCCCTTATTTTCAAGCCTTGAATAATTATACTTTATTAAACAATGCACCTGCTAAATTAATGTACTTCCCATATACATTTGAGCTCCAATCAACAAAATTACTTTAGCTCAGTGTTTCTCAACCTTGACAATTTTAAGGCATGTGGACTTCAACTCCCAGAATTCCACAGCCAGCATTGCTGGCTGTGGAATTCTGGGAGTTGAAGTCCACATGCCTTAAAATTGTCAAGGTTGAGAAACACTGCTTTAGCTGATCACTGTTTGTGTGATCACACATACCCAATAAGGATATGGGTGCATTGTATAGGTTGCAGCCTTCTTTTTAAACATCATCTAACAGCAAAGGCATGATTTAATGTTTTCCTCCCCAATTCTGCAAAAGATACATGTGCATCCATATAATTTAGGAACAGATTTTACACTGCACGATTAGAAAACAAAGGTAATCAAGTTACAAGCATAATGGAGCCTGCTCATTCCAGTTGAAAGGGCGTTAATGAGTCCCCATCCTTGCTCTGCCCGATGCCTTTGTTAAACAAATATGCAGGTGGTTAAGTGGAATTTGGGGTGCCTCAGGAGTGGGGAGAGCCTAGTGCAGGCATACATTAGTTGTGTATTGCTAAATATGACCTAAAAACGTGATCTGTTTTCCATACAAGTCTTAAAACTAGATGAAGAGAACCTACAAATGAAGGCAAATTATATGTGTCCCAGGATAATGTTCCAATCAATAACAAGCTCAGAATAATAAATCTCTGATTCCAGTGACCAATCTAGGTTGATCACTGGAACCAGAGATTTAGTATTCCAAGCTTTTGGACTCATGTTGGAGCCCATCCTCAGAGAACTTCTCTCTACCAGAATGGGTGCCCAATCAGCACACACGTACCCAAAGAGAACCTAATTAAACAAAGGAGTCAATAAATTCACAAACCTTTAAGCCCCATTGTAATTTAGTGACTCTTAAGGATACAACATTACTATTAAAGAAAGACTCCAACAGCTTCTGTGGTTAGAAGCATCCTTTATGAACTTTAGCTGATGTGCAGCTGCAACCACACCTGTACAGAGATGTCTTAACCAGTTATCCACATTCTTATAACTTCACTTTTGAAAGACTACTATGTGTTGTACACAGGATTGCCTTTACAAAGCTTTAAAAACTGCTGTGGTTTTAAGATATCTCTCTCTCTCTCCCTCCACCCCCCCTCTCTCTCACACACACACACACCACCACCACCACCACCACCCAAACATTTTTAAACCACCCATTTCCCTCACAGAAGGAGATAAAGCTCCAAAATTAAGAATTAAAATTGCTTCAAACACATATGCTGATGCTTTACTAGCTGCATAGGCTCCAAGTAAATTTGTGGACCCTGTTGAAAGTGATGCTTTTAACCATAAGGGCCTTTTAACAAATAGGGATTAGGACAATTGGAAAATTCTCTTGATGTGTGTGTGTGTGTGTGTGTACACACACATACACACACACACATATACACACACACACATATACACACACATACGTATGTATGTATGTATGTGTGTATGAGTGTATGTATGTATGTATGTGTGTATATATATATGTATGTATGTATGTATGTAGGTAGGTAGGTATATATATATATGTATATGAAAATATTTTTTGATAGTTAGACGGTCTGTATTTACCTATGGCTTCTTGCTTGCTCCTCACATACCCATCCAGAAGTCCAAAGAAATGCTAGCTAATTGATAACAGAAACTAAGAATAGGAATATAAGAAGTAGAGGATGTTTCCTACAGGAAAGGGGAGAAGCCTCAGATATTGAACTGCCATTAAAGATAGAATCTTACATCACTAGAAATACATTGGCACCAGAAATACTGAATTGGATGCAACAGTATTCATACTGCTGAAAGCTTACTAGATGGAGAATGCTCCTGTGTCCACAAAGAAGAGGAACTCTGCCAAAGACAAATGTGAGGATGCATGGTGGGACTTGCCTACCTGATATAAATAGTATTGGGGGGATTGAAAATGACTTCATATCACAGAGAAATAAAGGATCTAATTGTAAATTAAACAATAAAACAAGTCCTAGATTTCTGGCTTCTAAGTCCAAATGCAAAGTGGTAACCTTTAATGCAGGGGTGTCAAACTGACGGATGCGTCATGCCAAAACCCCATTGCCAGCAATGGAAAAAAAGTCGTGATACGTCGCTACATGTCATGTGACATTGCGAGTTTGACACCTCTGCTTTAATGCCCCTTAAACTTAAAGTATGACATCAAGGGAGAAAAAAAGCAGAGAACCCTGAAGTACTGTTTTCTCAATGATTTCACAAGCCGCTGTCATGTATCAATAGGCCAGAATTCACCGGACAAACAACAATGACCCAGGTTTATGGGAGACACGCAGTCTCCAGCCCCACTCTGCATCCTCAAAATGCCCCCAAAGGGAAACTCAACTGCAATCCACCAATGATTTTCAGCTGTGTAAGGTTGTGTTTTTTGTTTTTTTGTATTTTGGGGGTGATTGTGAAAAAATGTTAAATGGTTCTGTGAAGCCTCTGCAATGTTTAATGCACCAATTTTGTACCTGGAAAATAAACAAACCAAAATGGAGTGGAGAGAAATTCAGCTTCTTCTATTTTAATGATATCACTAAGTCATTTATAGTTTCCTCATTCTATCAGAAGGTAATTTAAATGGAATTTGAATATAAAAATATTGTACATCTATATCATGCTAAACAAATATGAAATACAAAATAACACTGTGTGAATCAAGCCAAATTAATAGTGTCAAAGCACTGACACAGAAGATTTCATACTGCTGGTTTACTGCTAAAGGGATTAATTTGGTTTCCACCAGCCACCAGCCATCTTATTCCAGGCTTAAGAAATAAATTATTGACAAGATGAAACAATCCAACTATTATCATTAAGGAGAACCAGGCAATCATTCACATATTGTTTCAAGTGGTTTTACAGTCTACTTGTGTGAGAGTCATACAGTTTGTGAACTTTCAGTGCAGAAATTTATTATGAGCTTTAGCTGCATTTTTGAAAGACTGACATTAAGATACTATAGCAGTTATTTAATAAGGCTACACAACTGGCGATCCCAATAAAAGTGGGTAGACAATGCAAAGGTAAGTTTATTGATTGATTATCCATAAGACCATATTAAAAAAATAAAAGTAAAATACAGCGTATATTTCCAGGAAAAAAATAGATAAAAGAAAATACTATATAAAAATACATATATGCTAAATGGGAAACATCAATGTTTGGATAAATACATCACCTTTACACGATATCCCAATCTGTTCAACATAACAGCTTCTAAGCTGAAATGCCTTTTCCATAAATTTAGCAGGTCTGCTCACAATGTATATTCTAGAGGCCAGGAAGAAATAGGATAATCTATCACTCCAGTGGGCTATTATTTCAAGTAGAGATCTAAGCCTATAGGAGTCATATAGTTGATAAAACATGAGCAATAAAAGAACTGTCCATGCACTGACATGCATATAGAGTCAACTAGCCTCTGAAACAATTGCACAGGCCTTTCAAAGTATGCAGCCACGTTTACATTTTGAGGAGGAGTACTTCACTCACACCAAGACACTTTGCAGAAGTATCCCTTTCAAATACTTTCCACATATCTGGACTACAGCTAACATATATTTAGCTCAGAATAAAGAACAGTGCGAGGTATTTCCAAACACACATGTAAGATTGCACTATTAATTAACTTTATGGAATGTCTAAATATCCCTCTACTTGTTTTTGAGTGACAGAGTAACAATATGAAAGCAAATACAGTAGTCCTCAACTTACAACCAAAATTGCTGTTGTTAAATGAGACATTTTTAAGTGAGTTTTTCCCATTTTACAACCTTTCTTGCCACAGTTGTTAAGTGAATCACCACAGTTGATAAGTTAGTAACATGGTTGTTAAGGGAATCTGGCTTCCTCATTGAATTTGATTATTCAAAGGTTGCAAAAGGTGATCACATGACTTGGGAGACAGCAACAGTCATAAGTATGAATCAGTTACCAAGCATCTGAATTTTGATCATGTGACCATGGGGATGCTAGAAAGGTCATAAGTGTGAAAAACGGTCATATGTCACTTTTTTCAGTGCCGTTGTAACTTTAAATAGTCACTAAATTAACTGTTGTAAATTGAGGACTACCTGTAATAAAAAAATTGTTGCAATGTATTATATGAAATATACTAGCATTACCTTAATCCAATGCTTCAAAGAACAAAAAGACAAAAACAAATAGAAAGTGTAAAGCAGGGGTGTCAAACCGCCCGCTTGCAGGCCAGATGCGTCACGCAGAAGCCGCGCCTACCCCATTGCCGGCAATGGCAAAACTGTCCCCATACGTTGTGCAACGTCCTGTGACATCACAAGTTTGATGTGTCTGGTGTAAAAGGTATTAATCAATCTGGACATACATGAAAAAGTAATTTGGGACTAACTTGTTACAGTATTTTAAATAATGAGGGTCTCTGAGAAATAGATTTCATGCTATGCTAAACCAAGCTATATTCTACAACACCAGTTTACATTCTTTAATGCTGATAGTCCTTATCTTACGACCACAATTGAACCCAAAATTTCTGTTGCTATTCAAGACATTTGTTAAGTGAATTTGCCCCATTTTACAACCTTTCTTGCCACAATTGTTAAGCAAATAACCGCAGTTGTTAAGTTAGTAACACGGTTGTTCAGTGAACTTGGCTTCCCCGTTAACTTTACTTGTCAGAATGATGCAAAAGGGGATCACATGACGCCGGGACAGCGCAACCATCATAATTATGAGTCAGTTGCCAAGCATCTGAATTTTGATCACTTGACCATGGAGATGCTGCAACTGTCAAAAGTGCGAAAAATGGTCATAAGTCACTTTTTTCAGTGCTGTTGTAACTTCAAACGGTCACTAAATGTACTGCTTCATGTTGAGGACTATCTGAATACTTCTTCTGCCATTTGTTTTTGCAGCACAGATTGTGAAGAAATTATACTTTCAATAGCAATAGCAAATCACTCCTGAAATCTTGCCAAGAAAATTGCAAAGACTTCTCCAGGCAGTTATCAGGAGTCCAAAACTGACTAAAAGGCACCACCATTGCTAACAAATCATTATTCAGAAGTTACACTTTTCCTATTTTAGTTTAGTTTCCTTTGATCTTATAATAAATTTAGTACAACAAAAATTGTTGCCGTTTTCTCTTGGAGCAGCACAATGCAATATTCCTATCAAGTATGATGAGTGCCATGAATATTTCTTTTAAAAATGTGGACCTTTTGTTATACACTTCAGCTTTGCACATGCTATTTAAATCATAAATTCATTTTTAAAAAGAACTTAAGGATAGGAAACAGAGTTACCATACATAAAAAGGTGCAAAAGCTTCTGTTTATAGGTGACAGCTTTAATAATAATGACAACAACAATAATAACTTTATTGTCACTTTGAATGTACACCAAACGGCATACCTCAAAATGAAATTTTGTTGCATAAAGCTCTCAAAGCTGTAAACCACAACAAATTAACATTAGTTGACGGAAGATTAATGGAACTGCTCTAATGATTTTGAGAAGATTAATGGAACTGCTCTAATGATTTTGAGAGATTTGATATAAACTACATAAACCACATATTTTTCTCATTACACCAAAAGCTTCTGACTGATACGTGACACATCCATTCTCATTTATTTGTTGCTACTCCTATTTCCCTATTTGCAAACACTTCACTAGTCTTGTGCAGTTGCTTGCCCCATCACAGTATTTCCTCATAACTTTATGTAGAAACAACACCCACGGGGTGGGAAAAAAGATGCAACATCTATTATATGTACTAAATCCAGAAAAAAAAACAAGTATAGGAATAAAAATGGACTATTCTTCCTTGCAAGCGTGGACACAATTCAACTAATGCACCTGCAGTTAAAACTGCACAACGTGCAGCGAAACCCGCAACTAAACTGAGATCCCTGGCACCCTACGATGTGCAAGCAGCCACACAAACGAGAAGGCCGAGACACCCAAAAGCGACCCTTCTTCGGGCTCCGACCAACCCTTCCCTTCGTCTTACCCGCCAGGGGAGTACTCCAGGTTGAAAACAGCGCCGTGGGTGCGGGTGATGGGGGACACCGAATCGGCGGGTTGAATAGCACCATAGAGCCTCGTCATGGCCCGGAATGTGTCCCTCGCCGGCTCCACGCAGCGGCCCCCATGGCCCTGGCTCCGTTCCCGCACCCAGGCGAAGAGCCCCCCGCCTGGGGTCGTGACTGGGGTGGTGGAAGAAAAGGAGGCCGGGGGTGACTTCGGTGACACCGCCCGGGGAGGTGAGCTCGAAGGGGGCGGCGACTGGTCGCCGTCGCCCGGGGGCGACCGCTCTGGGGTAGGGCCCCACCGCACCTTCCAGCTCATCCCGAGCCCGGTCCCGCCGCCACGACAAGCAACAACACCACCATTCCCCCCCCGGCCCTCGGCTCCCCACCACTTCCGGTGCGGTGAGCACCAAAGAAAGCGCACCGGGCGCAAACTCGAGTTGCCTCGAAGCGGCCGCCCAAATGTTCTCCACCTTCCTCCCTGCGAAACGCGGTCTTTTCTGGGCGGCTGAGCATTTGGAAAGCAAGGTCGTCTTAATGCCTCTGATTTCATTTCATAAATTTTAGGACTACAGTGTAATTTTGCAGAGGAGTTGTGTAGAATGAATGCCTGCTTTCAGCAGGGTTTGTGCTCAGAGATGCAGGATTGCTAGCAGAGTTCCGTCAGTCTCAAAAATCCAAATGCAAATTAATGTCTTGTCTACCCCTGCATGACTGTCAAATTGGTGGGAAGAACCAATAGGAGAGAATAGTTGTGCCTCAGGGTTGAACGGTGGGGTCCTTGATGCTCTCTAAACTGGCTGTTTTCTTGAAGGTGTTTCATTACTCAACCAGGTAACATCACTGGTGCTGGAGAGGAAGCCAGCAATATGTTGTCCTGTTGCTTAATCTGTCTAGAGTAGACATCCAGCCTTTCACAAAATAATCTGAGAATGCTTGGCATAAAAACTGGGCTTGTGACATTATAAATATGCCAGAAGGAATTGCAGACATACTTAAACTTACCAAGGAATACTGTGTTGCACAAGTATGAGTTAGGGATGAAGCTACTAGCCCAGGGGTAGGCAACCTTGGCTCTTTTATGATTCCCAGAATTCCTGAGCCAGCATGAATTCTGGGAGTTGAAGTCCATGAACATAAAAGAGCCAAGGTTGCCTACCCCTGTTTAGCCTATCTTAATAAAAAAGCATAATGGAAGACAAAGTCAGTATCCATGGATCTATCTGGCAATGGCCATGATATAAGGAAGATAATGACTTGGAATGTAGGAGGAAGCTAGAGTTCAATGTTCATTGGAAGCTAGAGACATCAGCAACAATAGGGGCAGTGCACAACAGTGATCACTGAAGATTAAGGAAAAAGTCCTCCATAAATTGATCAGTTCCATAGCCTATATTCTTGGTTTCAAGACTTCCTTTAAAGGAAGCAGGGAGAAGTATGCCGTACCTGTCATATCCCATTCACATTCTTCTGAGTGTTGGTTCTGCTGAATCACAGTCCACCTGGAAAGGTTGAGCAGAATATTTGAAAGACATATTTATTTCAGGTTGAAATAATATACATTTTCTTTTTCACAAACACTCCTATGTGCTTTTGGAAAATAGATGATGCCAGGTTGTTGGCTGAAAACTCACAGCTGACTTGCAGCAAAATTTAGGCTACTTTGCAGTTAGGAATATGGATTTGAAAATTATGACTCAAAGATCAAGTTGTTACTTAGAGAGAAAATAGAGTGAATGATTGCAAGTTATATATACATAGCAAAAACTGGAACAAGTAGGAGAAATGTGAGTATCTTGGTGCATGTCTAAAGGAGATGTGGCAATATTATGGGAGTTCGCTGTGTAAGCCACTTATAGAAAGATGGAATATAAATTAAGAACAAAATTGCTTCAGTAGGTCAAATATCTTTAAAATATATGTATACAGTGTAAATCAGTTGTCAGAGGTATGATGGCTCAGTGTCTTAATGACACTGGAGATGGTCTCTGCTGTAGCAGATTGAGTCCTAGAACTGTGTAACAGGGTGAGCTCCCATCACTTGCCTTAGTTTCTGCCTACCTAACAGTTTGAAAGCATGTTCTATGCAAGTAGATAAACAGGTACCGCTTAAATACATGTAGGTAGGGAGATAAGTTGCTGCTCCGTGCAGGCAGTCAGATTCCTGTTGGCTCTGAACTTCCTGGTTATGGCGCCTGTTTACAAGGTGGTTCTGGGTAAGAGAGGGAGCCTAGGAAGTGCCATTGGTCTTTCTTTCTGGTGCAAAGCCAGCTTGCCCTCCTGTTGTACACCTTGGGAAGTGCACGAGCATGTACTACAACAGAGCTGGTAAATTGGCAACCAAACTATTACTCTGCAATTGAATTGTGGTCTCCTGGCTAATATAACTACGCCATATACTATTAGTACTACTACTAAGTTGTCAAATTTTCCAGCTGAGGCTAAAGAAAGTATGCTGATTGCCACAAATATATGTGGAAGGCCTATAAACAAACAAATCACTTGGTTATGCATTGTTTTTCAGCCTCCGGGTTCCTTATATCTTTAGATATGGGATTTTCAGAAAGTAAAGCTGTTGATTCAAAAACCAAGATTAAATTAATACATGGTGTCCTCGGCTATTTAAACAGACCATGAAAATGGATACCTTCTGCTCAATGAAATGTCTAGGCAATAATCAGATGCTGTTTTGGTTAGATCTGTACTTATTGTACCTGATTACATCCTGCATTACAACTTCCACTTGTCTCAGATGTATAGTCCCACACATATTTGTAAAAAGCATTACGGCTTTTATTGTTATATATACATTTTGATGTTAAATAAATAGTAAGTATTTAACTTTTTTAACTATCTGGAGATTTGTTTTTTCCACAAATTGAGCTTTGTTTTTCTGTTAAATTTCTTGTAAGTACTTTAGTCTTTTCCCTATTTATTTTCAACCCAGCCACTTCTCCAAATTCCTCTATTTTCTGCAATAATTTAGTGGCTGTTTCCTCCAAGAAAAAAGCCAAATCATCTGCAAAAGTTTGTAATTTATATTTCTGATCTTTATCTCCAATCCTTTGATCTCCCCATCTTGTCTATATTCCTGGCCAACACTTCCAGTGTAAGAATAAATAACAAGGGAGACAGTAGACATCCCTGTTTTGTACCTTTCCTAATCTCAAAATTATCTGTATAGTCTCCATTTATAAGTATCTTTGCTGATTGTTTATTGTAGATTGCTTGAATTGCATTTATAAATTTTTCACCAAAGTCCATTCATTTGCAATTGATGAAACATAAATTGCCAATTAAGATTATCAAAAGCTTTTGTGCATCCAAAAATATCAATGCCATTTGTTTCCCCGGATGTTTTTCATAGTATTCTAACACATTTAAAATAATTCTTAAGTTATTCTTTATCTGTCTTTTAGGCAGAAAGCCATTTTCAGCTGAATGAATAAATTCATTCAAAAATTTCTTCATTCTTTCTGCTATTATTGTTGTAAATATTTTGTAGTCCACATTTAATAGTGATATTGGCCTATGGATAATCTCTCCCCAAGGTATTCACCCAGCAACAACCGGAAGCACTTTCCTGCTATAAAAGCCATAATGCTTTTTACAATAAAAGAAGATAACTATGGAAGATTATTAAATCAAATAAAAATGGATTTGGAGAAGTGGAAAAACTTTCAATTATCACTATTAGGAAGGATAGCGACTATTAAGATGAATATTCTACCTAAATCGTTATTTTTATTTCAGACAGTTCCTGTTAAAACTAAGCCAGAAATTTTTTGATGACTTAAATGCAACAATAATGAGATTTATATGGCAAGGGAAAAAAGCAAGAATCAAAATTAAACTGCTACAAGAATCAAAAGACAGAGGGGGCTTTGGGCTCCCAGACTGGAGACTTTATTACCAAGCCACTATTTTGTTGTGGCTTAAAGAATGGATCACACTGAGAAATAAACTTCTTTACTTAGAGGGACATGGGTTGGCATGTTTTCCTTTGGTACGAGAAAAACAAAGTACATAAATACTTCCAAACCCATGCCATAAGGAATGTATTACTCTCACAGAGTGGGAGATAGTTAAAAAGAAAATTTATATGAAAATACCTGAGTGGCTTTCCACAATGGAAGCATTTGCGTATCCGAATTTAATTAACTATGATGAACTTGCGGCCTATGAAGACATTTTAGATAAAGAAGGAAAATTTAAAAAATAGGCAAGAACTTCAACAAACTGGTATTGATCTAGCATGGTGGTCATACTTGCAAATTCAAACAAGATATGAAAAAGATGTAAAAGTAATGGGATTCTACAAAGAACAGACACCACTAGATAAAATACTTTTGAAAACAGATGAAAATCTGATTAAGAAACTTTATAAATTCCTGCTAAACTGGAAGATGGAAGAAGAACAAGTGAAAGAAACAATGATAGTGTGGGCAAAGAATTTTGGTTATTCTATAGATTTAGAAGATTGGCAGAAACTATGGGACCAAAATATTAAATTTACTAAAGCAGCTGTATATAAGGAAAGCTTATATAAAATGTTTTATAGATGGCACATGACACCAATTAGATAAAATGTTTAAAAATATATCAAATATGTGTTGGAAATGTAAACAACAACCAGACACTTATTACAATCTGTGGTGGATATGTCCTAATGCTAAAAAGTTTTGGTTTAAGATCCACATGCGGCTAGAAAAGTTGATTAAAATATAAATAGAATTTAAGTCAGAACTCTGTTTGTTAGGAATATTAGGTTTGAATTATGGAAAAAAAATTAGTATTTAATATTCCATGTGTTGACAGCCGCAAGAATATTTGCCCAGTTTTGGAAAAATGAAAATTTACCATTTGACCAGACTATAATAACAAAAATACTCAAATGTGCAGAAATGGATAGATTAACTTTAAAAATGAAAGAGAAAGAAGACACAGTTTATTTTAAAACATGGGGAAAATTTTATTATTGGTTAGAAACACGCTAGAATGAGAAAAGGTTATGAAATTTAAAGAGATAATTGATAATTTGTATTTATATTCCATGATTATTTGTATGAATTTGTTATTATTTCTTCTTCTTTGTATATTTGTGTTCTTAAACAATATGGTAAACTATAATTAATATGTAATATATTGTTATTTTAAAGTTATAATTAATACTAAGCATTGTTAAGTAGTGAAATGAATGAGATTTATTGACTAATTTGCTATTTACATGATTATATTGAAAGTTGTTTAATAATAGAGTAATTATTAAGATTTAATATGTAAACCTGGACTGGTAGACTTGCTGAAGCAATGTTATTTTGTGGGATTAATCCCACTTTTGTGTTACCCCTTTTCCCTGGTCTAACCTTTTTGTATGTTTCCCTTTGTCTTAT